CACCGTCAATCTCCGAAAATAAGCAACTGAAGCTCGTGTCGGGTGCGACGATCTTGACGGACAAGCGCCTGGAGAGCAACCGCCCTGATATTACACATGTGCACAAGAGCAACCATGGACGAATCCTGCTGTGACTTGGTGAAAAGAACACCGCAATGGTAGAGCAGGCGAAAATCCAAAGATACCAAGTTCTGGTCGAGGAACATACCAAGCAGCAGCTAAAGTTGTCTTTTTCTTGTGACTGGCGGACTCGGAACCTTTTTCCATGAATCTTTCTTTCTACCTCGCGGCACGTCTTGGCGATACCTGACTTAATTCTTAGTGTGCGGGTGACAGTACTGCTTGGAACAACTCGTATGTTGAGAAAAGTGTTGTGTCGCAAAGATACGAATAGGAGCTGAGATATGAAAACCATCAACAGGCCAAAACATACGGCTTACGAACAGGAGTTGTCAAAATCAATAAGTATAAAAATTTAAATGTCTGCGGATTTTTTAATGGATGACAGAAAATGTGACGCCGAAATTCGAAGTTGCATTTTCGTAGCCAAAGATGTCTACTAGAAGCAGAAGAAAATATTAAGAGACATGGATATTTCCATAGAAACAAAGAAAAAAGAGTTGAACTGCTATGTAATAATAATCCTCCTTTATAGCAGCGAATTCTGGAGAATTGCTTCACAAATGTAAAGAAGACTTGCAATACAGATTTTGTCTCCCTGTAGAATGCTGAGAATAAAACAGAGAGAGCCTGTAAGCAACGAGGAAGTTTTAAGGAAATAAAATGATAATTATATATGAAATCAGATAGCGATAGTAGAAATGTCTAGAACATATAATGAGAAAAGAAGCTACGCAAAATTTGATACACACAGGGCATTTTGAATACAAGGACAGAAGAAAATAGCAAGCAACTTATTTAATAAGTATTTCAGAACATGAACTGGGAGAGAAAATAAAAAGGCAAACATTACTAAAAGTTATAGGATGTTGTGGAGAGCTATGATCACTCAAATGTGAAGAGACAGGACACAGAAAAAGCAGATATTGGTTATTATTATAAGATTATAAAGACTTGTAGTGAGCCGTTATCTGATTGGTTAATTCATTCAAAGTTTTCTTAATTCGGGGCAAAATATTACTTCTTTGGGAACAGATGAAACAAAGACATTCAAAAGTGATCATCAGGAAGCATTCAATTGTACAACGAAGCCGGGAAACTGCCTCGGATAGCATGAATTTTCAGATTGAAAAACGAATTTGAAGATCTCGTTTATCGAACTTTGTCGAAGAGTTATTGGGGAAAGAGTTTAATTTACGCAAAAGGAGTGGACATTGCAGAACTCGGCAAACGCTAACTTACTCCTTACTTCAGAACATATGATAGCAAGAAAATCGTTCGCTGCGTTCCCAGTGGTCTGTGGATCTCTTGCTATACTTGGCTCGATCCAACCAAGATCTACTTAGCAGAAAACAACTGCAGTGTCGTTTCAAAATAAAAAGGAAAACATTATTCGCTTTCATTTGATTTCATTCCTCTCCCCCCCTCTCTCTCTCTCTCTCTCTTACACAGACACGCACGCACACTCACACATACACACATACATACACATACAGACATCTTCCTCTGTATTTCTTGGTGTCATTTAGGAAAAACATCCGGCCGACCTATCTTCTGTGAAATCATTTCGTAGTTCGACCATCCTTTTTTGACCAAACAATCCCCTTTGAAAGATGTCATCCGTGCCATGACGATCATTTTATTTTTATCTTTTTCATATATTTATTTATTTTTTTTTTTTTATTGATGAATGGCATTCAAAGAAAATTCAAGAAATGCATGCGTCAAGTTTGGAAAAAAAAAATCTTTGACATGTTGTCTTTCCCAATAACTTTCCGGAAGCTGGTTTTGACGAAATCTTATGCAATCTTACACGGCTATATACTTGCGATATATAGGGGTATGAAAAAGTAGGTATATAAAAATGAAAAAAAAAAAGGTGCTCACAACACGTACTGTATTGATTGGACACTCATAGTAATACCAGTAATATACTTACTCTATACCTACTTAAACGTCCGATATTCTTATAGCTGGAATTTTAAATAGGTTTTGTTATTTTCTACTTTGTGACTCAATAAATATTCCATAAAGTTGAGCATTTACAGCCGAATAAAACGTAATTAACAGATCTATATAAATGTTATACTATAGTTGCATTTTGGATTGGTGACGGCTCGGTGAATATCCGTGGTGTACAAATTACAGTGAAGACGAATTGTAGCGAACAATATGAAGGTATACCTCAACCTAGGGCATTAATAAGCCCCAGAGGACACGGCTTGGATCCAAAAACGACGTGTTGAAATAACCACATTATAAACCGCAAATAAGCACTCCCCACTGGCCATTACAGTATTTATATATACGTACATAATTCTAAAAAAAAAAAAAAAAAAAAAAAAAAAAATTAAAATAATTAGATTTAAATAATTAAAAACTAACCTTAAATTTATGTAAACTCGAGTAAAACAACGTAAGGCGAGTTTTATTCCCCATATAATATTTAAGGAAAACCGACGTATTTTCGAAAATGACTTAATTAATATTAAATTTACGTAAACTCGCGTAAAAAGACATAAGGCGAGTTTTATTTCCCATATAATATTTAAGAAAAACCGACGTATGTTCGGAAATGACTTAACTAATTTTAAATTTACATAAACTCGCGTAAAAATACCTAAGGTGAGCTTTATTTTCCATATAATATTTAAGAAAAACCGACGTATCTTCGAAAATGACTTAACTCGAAACGACTTAAACCGAGGTATCACTGAATATCGTATAAGCTGTATATAACACGAGTCTTATAAACAAAGAGAATATTAGATTAGATTATACTTTTGTATGTCATTTTTTATATAAATACTTTTTTTAATCATTTCTTCCCAAACAAGACGATAATGCCCGAAAGATTCAAGGTGTTACTGGGCGTGAAGTTGAATAAAGAAGAATTTTTTAAAGAGAATGGCTAATAAAAGAACAATGTTCAGGATGACAGACGATGGCGGTTGGCGTTGCATTTAAATTTTTGAAGGCGACAGGGAAGCAGGAAATTGAAAGAGATTTCTACAGGTGAGAAGTACGAGAAAAGAAACTACTAGAATAGAACATACGCCTACATCTAGTTCTTTAGACAAGAACTCGATGAGACCTAATAATCAATCAATCTATTAGTAAGCCTAAATTCCCGCTGTCGAGGTATCAAAGAAGAGAGCTCATTAGAAGAGTCAGTTATGTGCCATGCATGATACAAGTTTAGACGACCATGTATCTTTCGAGATATGACTTTCATGACTGACGAGGCAATTTTTTTCCCGCAGTAGGTTGCCATTTCTTTCTGCGGTAGACCAGTTGCCATCCAAGGCTAAAGAACCCGGCCTGCTATTTACCCATAGGTGTGGGAGGAGAAAAGGATTCGTACCCTTCCTAAAGGTATTATCACGTAAGTGAATGGATTCGACTGGAATTCGAACTCGGCTTTCTGATTCCTCGATCCGAGCCGATCCCTTCTCAGAACAACGGCCACGAAATTCTTTATGGAAAAAGAAAGAGAGAAGCCTCGTCTCGGCGGTGAAAAATGTGACTGAATTCGAGATGCCGTATCAGGACCGATAACATTCTTTTGAATTTTGTCGAGAGTCTCCAGGTAAATGAATCAAGAACCAGACGGGATTGCCAAGAAACATTCAAGCACGGAAGAATGGTAGATTTGTGGATGTGCAAGATAGATTATAAGAAGAAAAATTGTCTGGCACAACACAATGGAACAACGTATTAGTAACAGAACTAGCAATTGACTCAGTAGAATCGCTCCACATTATGTCAGCTGAAAACTTGAAACCATGAAGGCGTAATGGGGTTGCACTCCTGATGGTTAGCATCAGCCATTCTGATGAAGGATAAAAATAGTTCTCTATAACGGAAAACGGTTTTGTTTAGGAGGTGTCAAAATATAAAAGTCATTTCTTGTCCCGATTAACAACGGATTGGAGGCCATTTTACAGAACAGCTTCCATTTATATGATTTTACTTTAAGTAATAATTGTATGTGATATTACGCTGTAAAGTACTCTGTATTTTATCATTATAAAGCTGAGATGTGGTGATATAAATCCATTGAATAGCGACTTAGACATCTACTGAGGCTAGTTCGTTAGAAACGAAGGAAAATGCTCGAATGTTATGTAATATCTTTCCTCCTGTATAGCAGTCGATGCTGGGTAATTTCCACGCCGCGGCGGCAGAGTCTTGTGGCAAGAGAAGTGTCGCTCTATCTAAGAATGCAGAAAAAAAAGTCATGAGCGGATCATCTGAGCAATATGGCAGGTTTTAATCCTTTGAACTCTGACCACCGCTTTACCGGTGGTAGAGAAAAATGACTTAATGCCCAGACACCGGTTGAACGAGTGTTGAGAAAAATGGCTTAATGACAAGCCACCGGTTAAACGGTGGTAGAGAAGAATGGCTTAATGCTCAGTCACCGGTTGAACGGTAGGTAAATAATTGTAACTATTTTTATATCTACCGTGAAACATTGCATACCAATTTTGCGAATTTTGACTCAGGAGCCCAGGTCGAAAGGTTACAATTGTCCAGGAACGCAGGGTTCAAAGGGTTAAAGAAGGTGGAAACAAAAAGGACTATTGTACTTAGAATCAGAAAGAAACAGTCGAAATTTCTAGGACATATTATGAGGAAACAGGGATTGGAGAATTTGAAAACTTACAGGATATATGGAAGGCAAGAGCGACAAAAAAACAAAACAAAAAAAAACAATAACCTACCTAACAAGCATTTCTATGTGAATGGCAGAATAGGAAAGGATAGGAAAATGGTAATGATAATATTAGCCATTTTCTTATCGGGAAACATCTCTCTATTAAAACAAATAAGAAAGCGGTTGTAGAAGGCCAACAGTTTAAATATTTATGAACGAA